TACATTACCCATTAAAGCCGTCTCATACCATTATTAGTCTCAAAGTGGGTTCCTCGTCATCGAATTTGAATTATGAAGAACAAAATAGAAATTTGCTGTGAACTAACAGAATGTGAATTATTACCACTCTAAGCAAAAACAATCATAAACACATGATATCAAAACAATTTTGGGCAAGCTTTCAGTTTTTATAGTGTCCAATATTTATTATTTGACATATAGTGCATTTTTTAATGTATCCTTATTTACAGTACTTTCACATCAGAATGATACCACACGTTCAGAAAATTGTAATATTAAATACACCAGGAAAAGCACTTTAGAATTAATGGACCGTAACAACTTCAAGAATACAAGTAAGTTTAAATATAAAAAGGAATAATAAACAGTGGACTGATGAAAAGGATACCATCACAAAAAACTGAAAATGTTTTAATCACATTACAATCCTATGTTAAAAAAGAAATATATATAACCAGGGGAAATTTTTAGCTCTTCTAAACGTTTAAAAACAAAGTGGACATGAAACGACCAAATAAAATCTATACATGTTCCTATTAGTATCAAACAAGTCCTATATAAAACATCAATAATCATAGTTGTCTTATTTCTGCTTCGAATTTTGGCTAATATCAATCATTTTCAGGTTACTCCTAATGAAAATATGATTTCACTTTTAAACCTTTTTAATTAATATTCATAAAATTAAGACTCAGTAATATCAATGACATCTAACATACTAATAAAGAAAAAAAAACTTAATTATAGCAACTACTTGCAAAAGAATTCTAGTAGTAGCGTAAAATAATATTTAAAAAAAATGGTATTTATATAAACGTTCTTTTTTAATTTCAAAAATGGGAAGAGATTATTTTATTTGTGGCAATTTCTTTCCACAATCAGCAAAGTTTATTTGCAATGTTGAATGAGTTCTGCTATACTTACATATCAAGAGGTCGTTTAACACGGACATTCTTATAATCAAACTTATGTTAAACCTCTTACTTTCTTATCCATAAAATGTCTTCAAAATTAAAGGATCAACCCAGTTTTAAAATATCACTGGAACAACAACTTAGAACAAACAAGATTGTCTGGGAGATACCAACAATCCTAACTACAAAAGTTTGTTGAAAGAAACTCGGGAGCTGCAAACTTAAAGAAAAATAAAATAAGCTGTGATAAAAAGTTTAAACTTTGAAAATTCTGAGATTTGCTCTTTGTCCAAATTATTTCTCTCTGTTAAGAGCTACTATCTTGTTTAATGATTTATCTCAACGTGAAGTGTGTTGTTAGTTTAACCTTGTTAAATAGACACACATTTAGATTTTCTGGCTGGAGGAATAACCTTAATGGACTGAACAGTCTTTTAATCTTAATCATTTTTATGTTCTTATACAATAAGTAACAAATTACACATGACATCATGGATTTATTAAAACAAAAACCCAAAATACTAGCAATATGGTAGCATGTAATGCATACTTCATAACTTTTTCTCAATTAATTCAACGGTAAGTCATTTCAACCTTCACATAATCTATTGAATTTGTTTTAGTTTGAAGCAAAAAGCCAGTGTCATTATCAAAATTTCCACTTTTTAAAACATGAATTGCATTATTTTGATCAAACTTTGTTTCTTAATTGCACATTAAAACGAGCTGTATTTTGATTTTTTCCCTTCTCCCACCCCCAATATTTAACCTTGAAAGAATTGGTTTAAAAGTCATAGTTGATAGACTTGCTTAGTTTTGTCAGTGTTAAATGTATTCAGCTGCATGATTTAAAAATCGTCCACAACAAGGCTTTTTATGAATCACAGCTACACTACTCTTTAACTGGGACACCTTAAATGTTAAATGTCCCAATTTGAAAGTCTATGAGGTCAGACTTGAATCTAGTTATACAGTGAAAGTATAAACTAAAACTGTTTTTTCAACAACTTGATAAATCAACATATACACCCATAGATATGAACAATTAGTCGTACTGATAAACGAAACAGTCTTTTAAGTTCAATTTATTAGGCAACTTGTATCAATTTCGTACACAAGATTCTAAATATTACCATAACAGATACAGAACAAAGACTTGCTTTATTATAGCTGCCAACTATGAATAACTGTTCAAAAATCACCATTTGATAACAAAAAAGGCACAGTTTGGCTTTAAAAAAAAGGAGTAACCATATAATTATGAACATCAATTCGATAAATTAGAACCATTAACACACGTTTATATCGTGCCTCTTTCGTTGTTAATAAGTCAATAATATTAAAATATCACAAAGGACTATTTAGCCAAAAAAAGGGATGGGCACCTAATATTCATATAGACAAACTTACTTCCTCGCGTCGCCGTACTTCCTCCTGTAGCCGCGCCTCTGTTTCTTCGAGTTGTTCTTTAGCAGTTTCCAATTCATCTTTAACTGCTTTCATTTTTTTCTTCAACATCTCTAACATTGAACCTTGCTGTATCATTGACATTTTCCGATTTATATGTTGCAAAGGTTAAACAAAGAAAGAAGAAAAGCAATTATTGTGGTATTTGCTCTTATTTAAAGTTTGATACGAAAGTTCGCTAACCGTATCCACCCTAGCACCAACCTGATTTCGCTACTTAGCCCGGCTGTGGCACCAATCAGATTTAACTTACAAAGCCATTGAAACACAGCGGCGGATGAATACTAAATTCCAATAAGTTAGTATTTCTACGCAGAGAGACGTAAACGTAACGCTACAAATACAGACACTACAAAATTCTACTTTGTTTTAAAGTATAGACAATTTTAAATAATATTTTCAAAACTTTCTTGGTATACCTATAAATATACAATTATATTTAAAATCTCACGCTCACACAAAGGTTTGAATTATTACGCCTCATAAACGCCATATAAGGGCGAGAATATTTGAAGGGGGGGGGGGAATTAAGGATTTCAATCATGCAATCACGTGACTTGAAGCTGAACGCACAGGGTCGCCATGCATTTGTACCTGCAATACCTGTGGTTGGCAGAAGTTTTACTCAACTATGCTTTAGGAACAGTAAAAAGGTGTCACTGAAAACATAACTGATTACATCTTAACTATAAGCAAAAGTGTATTATATTTATTTATTTCGACCAAACGCTATTTTTCACGCCAGAGAGAGAGAAAACGACAACGTTTTATAATTGTATGCAAAATTAAATAATACTGATGCACAAATTAGGGGCCGTCAACAATTGACAATAGTTTTCCGGGAAAAAATAAATAAATTTGAGCGCCCGCCGCCACCTACAATCGAAAAGAACAACAATAATAAAACGAAAGGATTGATGAAATCCTATAGGTACAAGAAAGACAAACAAAATGGAAAAATATGAGCTGGGTTTCGCGGCAGTGAATTTTAGAAGAAAAAAAAAGAAGCTAAAATCCACTTTTTTTTTTTATCTGAATATTTCAGTGCTTCGAAATATACATGGAAAATTCGAAAATAAATTACACCCTTTGAAAATCTCTTCCCCCTTTCGAAAAACTCTCGACTATTCCTGACGATCCCTTAATTGTTATCAAGACATTTCTTCAAAATAAATGTAATTTCCTATCTTAATAAATGATTCATAAAAATGTATTTTTACAATAATTATAAGGTTTTACATAATTGTGAAAGTCTTTCCAACTCAACAAGTCAAAAATTCTCAAGTATCAATATGATATTTTGCTACATTTATTGTTGTCTATAGCATAAAACAAAGTGCACCATCAAAATGTATCGTAAATAGTTCATGAAATTACTTCAAATATTATGGATGAAAATTATAAACATATAAACACAATTTTGAATAAGTTAAGTCTGAACCAATAAGAAGTTATTACGGACTGATTTCTATGAAATAAATTAGCGTTCTACTTCTATGCCAGTTCAATAATGTAGGTCACCTATATTTATGAGGAGCTACACTAAATACGTGGCGTAATATATTTTGAGTGAATATTTAAAATCAACTTCTCAAGAGCAATTCTTCAGATGTACTTTCTTTTCAAAGTTTTATAATAAAATTTAACAGCAAGTTAAAGCAACACACTACCCAGTCCAAAATAATCAACAATAGTATCAACTACTTTCATTAAAATCGTGCTCAAAAATCATTGGACGAAATCCTTTCAATTAATATTCCTACAACGTAATTCTAGCAATCTCAGATTAGTAAAGATTATTCCTTAAAACATTTTGTTTTTGATGCTTTAATTGATTGAGAGGGTTCGCTTAATCTTGTGACCTTACGAACAACCAATAAAGGAATTTCCTCTCAGAGATTTGAGAGACTAGTCATTACCCCTCCCCGACAAAAAAAAAAAAGGAATAAACACTGTCTGTCGAGCGATATACAGTTTTAAAAAAAAAGTGTTTTAGAAACAAATCTTATAAACATGATTAAAAATGCAGCAGCATCAGGAGCATGATGACTCCCGATGCACTGTTAAAATCATTATAACTAAGTATCCAATCCAAATGTTACACACACACTCTCTCATATGTTCTCATCCTTTGAATGAAAGCAATAAATCCACTCAAGAGTATAAAATGAGGTCGTGTTTATGTGTTAGTGAAACAAGGAGACTGACTCACGGCGCCTGGTCTCACTATGTCCTACAGCGTGAGAGGCTTAAAAAATTTGCCATCGAAATAAACCCCTCAGGCTTTACGAGAACCATCTAGAATATATGGTTGAAAATCCTGCAGGTTACGTGCCACATGTTAGCATTAACTATATTTTTAAGGCACAGAATTACAGAAATATGGTAGCAGAAGGAACTGGATTCGCCTTAAAGAACTAAAATTTTCCTATGAAAAAAAAGCCCATTTCCCGGTGGCTCAATCTAAGGGTTTATAACGCTGAAAATCAAGCTTAGATACCCGCGGTGGGCAGAGCACAGATAGCCTATAGTGTTGTTTTGCGCTTAAAAACAGATATCTAACGTCTTTCAACATCATGTATACATCTTGAAGCAGCTACTGCCCCATGGTGGTTTAGCAGTCAGCTCGCCTACACACAAGGCAAAAATTCAGGGTGGGGTACCCGCGCTAGTCACAGTGTAGATAGCCCAATGAGAGCTTTGCGCTTAAAAATAAAACAAACAAGTAGCAGTTATTTGCTTGTATTACGAATCATCTTTTTGTGTTGATTTTTTTTTACCAAAAAACAATCACTATTTTTGGGACTTGTGATAATAACAAAAAGCCTGTGTTTCTATCGACTTTCACATCATCACACTTCAAAACCTCAACAATGGAACAATAGAGTTCTTCTATTACATGCACATGGTCTTTCACATTCATTCGAAGATCTTAGATTCAACATTAGTTTCAAAAATGAAGCATGCATACACTACATTCACCCATTCAGCAATCTGAAAAAATACGGTGTTAAATATCTCGCGGAAAGCTATCGAAGAAGAAGAGAAAACCAATACGCTTAAAACTTTTGATAGAAATCATGCAAAAGTGCAAATATCCCCCCCCCCCATAAGAATTCGTTAACTTCGAATTTCAAAACAAAGATGCGCAAGATTTTTAAATACACAAGGGTGGGAGTAATTATAAGTGTTTCAGAAACTTTTAACTAAAATCTGTTTCTGTGCTACATATAACTATCGATTTAATTTCGTCTTTTAGTTGTCATAATTCAACCCAGCTGAATAGATCTAGCACTAAAAATTTCTTGGGCAACCTGGAGAGATCGCAGTTATTCACAAACCGCGACATTTTTCTGGAGGTATAAGTACTGGAAGAACGCCACATAAGTGTGTATTTTGGCTGTTCAAATGTTTCTTGAAAATGAGATTTGTCAGCTTTATTTCATAGGTATGTAGATGATAAATTTGCGTTTAAGTTTAAATGGTTTAAAATTAATCGTAAGCTGCGAATTATCGGTGGCTTAAAAATTGCTACAAATTAATGACTGAATGTGTGATGTAGTCTTGGCATTCACGAAGGAACAGGATATTTCTAGAAAATTGGTGGCGTGACACTAGTCACGTGACCTCGCTGACGCAACAGACTGAATGTGTGATGTAGTCTAAACTAGGTAATTTGGATACTACCGAACTGTTGAAACTGGGGAGAAAAATAATGCTGTTAATCTCCGAAATATTCGTAATAATTCATAAGTAGTTATTGGTACTATTTCTTCTGTGTTTAGAAATAACTAGTATATTTATAAATAATTAAAACTTAGAAAGATCTCTTATCTTTCTAGACTTCCGTTAGATGATAAAACTGTTGAAGAAGTGGATGATTGTTATACACAGAAAGATTGAACTCCAACCAAATATTCACGCATCTCCAGCGAACATTTCACTGCATCAAGTTTCAAGGTAATAATAAGTTATACTTGTCATAATTTCTTCAAAGTGTCAGTGAAATGGCAATAATGGTACACATATATTAATTATTTTCATCAGTACTTCGTAGTAAAACAATTGAAAATAGTACAAAGGACCAGAATAAGTCAGTAGACAGATATTAATAAAAGTTCAGAAAAAGCGACCTTTACAAATATAAAAGAATTTCAAATGAATACTTTTAGATATTGTAAACTAGAGAGATACAAAAACTTTATGCCCCCAGATGGCACAGAAGTAAGTTTGATAACTTACGCTAAAAACGTTAATTAACTCCTTCCGTGTCTTTTTTTTAATAAGCTCAAAAAAAGGTAGGCTTACTTTTGAAAGATTATCGCAATACATATAGCATGATAAATTCAGGTAAATAGTTAAAAATATGGCGAAAAATTATTTGCCCGAATTACCCCAGGCAGTTGTTTTTTTGAGACAGATATTTCGGGCAAATCACGGAAGGAGTTAAAGGCATTAACATCCTTTACTGTATATTATACAAACGGTACAGAGCTGGTAAGTTGTTTATTAAAACTGACACCTCTCCGAATGTTACCAGTGGTGTAGTCGGTCCACAGCGTCGCTCCAATACCTTTTATATATATATGCGCGATTAAAATAAGTACATGTAATTGTAAAATAAGCTTAAATTTTTAGAAATAGTATTTTTTAGTATTGAACTTGTATGGTTAAAATGTTATATTTACAAGTATTAAAATCATTATATGTTTAAAATGATGACTTGTATAACTAAACGTATAATACATCATTTATCAATTATATTTGTATTTACTCAGATATGCCAGATTGTTATTGTAAACTTTACAGATAAATGTCTGAAATTTAGCCTACATGTGCACGAGTGATCCACGGGCGGTAATTATATCAAAATTTAGTTGGTGCTCAAAATAATTTGCGACTACACCATTGAACGTTACTGTTCTATTTGTGACGTTGTTTTGAAACACTGACATTACGCCTAAGCTATATGTCATTTTTAATTGCAAATTAACAGTATCTTGTGGAAATCCTTGAAAATTGAACTTTAAAATGCGCAAGTTTTCCTCGTGCGCATTACGTGCTATTATTCTTATATCGAGACGATAAGATACCTCCAAACTCGTCGAAGATTTATAGACAAAGCTAGAAAAACTTGGCGGAGTTTGACAACCTTGCAAGATAAAACATGAAAGTATATTAATTAATTCTGAAATAGAAAAGTTAAACCTGTAAGTGTCAAATAGCTCTAAAAACATTATAACAGTGAATTCTA